CAGTGATAAAATTTCTTGTGTGCTATTGAGTCATTGACTAAAAACCATTCGTGGTACCATTGTCCTAAAACTAATTGGATACGATAGTTTCTTTGACATAAGGAGGTAAAGCTGACCAAACAAAGAAGTACTGATCCAACCTTAGTAGAGCTTAAATTGACTGACAAAGACTATTCTCTGACCAATAATTACTGCTATAAGATGCGTCATGGTGATGCAGCGACCAAATTTCAACATGTGTCGTAAACCACAAACAGGAAGGGCACACCCTTATTTTAGTGGAGAGGTCACTCAAACATCTGGAGTATTAAACCATCCTGGAGAGATGCAACAAAGGGGGTTAATCCTCAAGGGTGCTATCACTTTATAGATCAGGGGGGGATCAATCGTAAATTTGTAGCTCTTTGTTGATTAGTTGTTTGAACTTGAAATTGACATTACTACTTTGAAGTTGTTAACAGGCAGAGAGAAATAGGTTTAATGTCCACTTACCGTAGACTAGGAACATTTTGTGTGTAACATGGTACATTTGTATTTCAATAATTATCGCTTGTGTATAGGTAATTTTAGCATTGGGAGGAAACGGGAGGACCCAAAGAAAACTCTCGAGGTTGGACAGGTGACCCTACTCCTTGTCATGTACAAGCTCTCAAGATAGAAATCATGCTACTTAACCCTTACGATATCAGGCACGTGTTGGACCACTTGACAACCCAGCCCCTGTTTCATGTTGTTAATTCAAAATATGAACATGCAAATAATGAATAAAATATGCAATTAACATTTATCAGTAATCGCTAAATGTACCTGCTGGGTTATTATTCATTGAATAGCAGGGATATTATAATTGTCTCTAGTTAATCTGTTTTATGACATGGATAATATCAGATGGCCAGCTTGTTGAACTTAAAGAATCCACATTCATCTACAGAATTTTGATTAAAACACCTGAAACCTTGATGAATTTCATTCAATTTAAAGGTGCCGATCGTTATTTGAGAGATTATTTAATCCCTTGTGAAAGTTGAATCTCTAAAAGGAATATCAGCCCAAAAATGGTTCCGTTCTGTACAGTATTTATAATTATAACGATATGGTGAATTAAAAATTCACAACATGCGACAACCTTTACAGACGATATCAACAAGCCAGTATAAGTGATTGGTAAATTTTTTTGAATCTAATTAAATCCAAGCTGACGATTTTCTCTCGTTGATATTTTAATTTTGTTGTCTTAATTAACTATTAAATAATCAATTTTAGAACATTTTAGCGTGGATTAAATAATGAAAAATTAGATATTTCAAGTGATGATTAGTGGCTTTAAACATCGGGAACCTTGTTGAGTTTCATTCAAAACACTGTTCACGGTAGTATATTAATGTTCTGGTAAATAACAAAAACTACTTGTAGACTAATTGTTTAGCCGCCTCTCTGTTCACCAATAACGGAAGCTGTTGCTCCTGTGATACAGCACTGCCTCGTTCCACCTGAGACTCATTTTGTGCTCCGGTCCCCGATGCTTATATAAAGGGAACATCTGCACAATCTCACTTAAGCCTGACGTAGGGTTGGGCAATATACTGGTTTTTGGTATATCGAGATAAAATCATCAGCGATTTTATCATATCAGACTTACCTAAAAATATCAAAAAAACGGTATATCGTGATAACCAAAATTATTGCGATATGATAATTATCGTGTCCCAATACTGATGATAATACATATATGCTAAATCATCTCCTATGACATTCTAACTATTGATGAAATTAAATTCATCAGTAAAAATAGCTTTATTACGTACCAGCTGGTCTAGGGTAAAGCTCCATCATGCATTCTACCGATGTTACCAACAAGAATCTGACATCAAGCTGACGATTTTCGACCAAGGTATTTAAAATTCAACTTCTTAAGACACATGTGTATAAATTATCACGATAATATCGTTTATCGTGATATTTGATAAATTATTATCACAATATCAGTTTTTCATTATCGCCCAACCCTAGCCTGATGAGTTCAAAATGAACGAAACTACTCACTTTCTGAGAGAAATCTGGAACGACTAATCGCCACTCATAGATTTCTAATTACTTCTAGACTATTTGTTAAAATCATCTCGGACCCTTATCTGTTAAATTGGACAATTATTATTATGTAAACAGTGGCCAACATCAAAGAAATCTATTTTGTAATCTCCGTAAATTTACATAATATTACCAAAAATATTGTCATTTAGATTAATCATGAAATTCTGTAACTACCAATTTAAAGACAATGGAATCTGAAAAAGGAACAATTTTATTGTCAAACAGACAATAAATCATGTATTTACGATACTTCCATAATGATACCAATTACAATTGACATGGTCCAGTCAAAGAGAATTCCTAGATCTAATGACCGGTCATTATCATCTCCATATAAATTATCTGATCCACCACCAGAATATGTTTGCTGGACATTTGTCCACTTGTTAAATTGAGCGTGTAATAGGCCTTTGTTCGTGTGGACATTTTAGAGTGGTCATTCACTCCGGCCAATTACCCATCAAGTAGAGGATCTATAATGACTTGTTTTAGTCAATGACCATTTTGATGTTTAACCTCCGAGTTAAATATTGATAATAATAATGACCATTCGCGACATAAAAATTAATTAGTTTAAAAGTAAACATTATCAAGTCTATGTCTTTAAATAATACAAATTGAAATTATGTTTTTGTGAGTCCGTCTTTGTGAGTCTGGTTAGAGGAGAAAATTAAGACTTTAAACACCATTTCAGTCATTTTGAGCCACAAGATTGTTTCTTAAAAATTAGGAAGCGATTATTGTATGATTTATACAGAGATAAAAGAAGTAAAGATAGCCAAAAACAATAGATTAAAGTTTAAAGTAGCTAAGTCTCTAACTCAATATCGTCCAAAGTATTCGACATTGAAAACACAAATTATTTGTCGGTTTAAATCAACATTGATGTTTTGATAATATCGGGAAAAGATGGGCTTCTGATATCCAATATTTAAAACAAAATAAACATTTTACCATTGGTACACAATTGTACCATAATGCGTTTCAGCACCATTTGTAACAAGGGACTCGAAGAATGAGGCTATAGACAAATTTCACAAGTCATGTCAAACAGTGACGACTTATTTTTATCTGAAGAACATGTGCAATAAATACTATCGGTGTAGACTTGAATAACCAGACGCTAGAGATTGCCATTCGATTGAGATTTGTGGCGCATTTCGCTGAACATAAGTCAAGTGATTAGAAATTAGAGGAAACACAGAAACGATTAAATGTAAATCAGTTTATATACATCCATATTACATTATTATATGCGTTGTGACCCATTTGTGTCAATTTCTAGATTTCAAATAGTAGCGATTTAGCTCCGTTAAACAAGTTTGAACCAGGGAGGTATTCTGGTACGAAGGTCACTGCTCTATAACTCGACCACCACTGCCCCTGTAAAAAGCAAACTTAGTACCAATATGATTAGCCTTTTAGCCAGGAACACATTAAAGCCTTTATACAAACAGTGGTACTTGTATATTACATCAAATGTACATGGAGTAGAAAAATAGACATGTTGTTAATAAATTTATCTAATTTGAAATGTCAGATCAATTGAATTTCATGATAACTGTTTCAAGATGGATACTGTAATCCTGTTAGATGTATCTCATTCCTGTCAATTCTGTTAAACATACTTGTTTGATGTTATCCAGCTTTCTAAATGTTCACTGGGGTTTTAGACAGAGAAATTGGGTTTAATGTCGTAGTCCACTCGACACAAACTAGGTCATTTTGGGAATAACATGGTTCAATTTTGTTTCAATAATTCGCGCGCTGTATTATAAGTTCTGTCATTGAGTCAACTGGCCTGGTTTCGATTCCCCGGTTGTATGTGACAAGGAATAGGGTCGCCTGACCAATCTCGTGGGTTTTCTCCGGGTCCTCCTCCTGTTTCCTCCCACTGCTAAGACTCCTACGAGCAAGTGCATTATTGAAATAAAATTGAACCATATGTTAGTTGAGTGCCATCTCTCTCTCTCTCTCTTTCTCTCTCTCTCCCTCTCTCTCCCTCCCCCCTATATTTGTAGAGTGCACACATTATATTTAATATATAATGTCAGTGAACTAATATGTCAGTAATTATAACCTATCTTCTCTGTCATTACATTTTGATGTTTAATATATTATTATAACCTTTGACCCTAGTAGTATCATGACCCCTGACCTCTTGACAATTCATCAAAATAATAGTTGAAATATGGCATGTGTTTAAACATTGGGGGTGCTCTTCCGGTTGAGTGTGAGATGGTTTTGTCATAATATATAACACCTGATTGTGGAATCGCACATATGTAGAACTGTTTATGTTATTTGTTCAAAAGATAGCTATTTAATCTGAGATTTTCATTCAGATACTTTTGTGGCTTTATCTCTGAACTTTTAGTTACTTTTAAGATTTAAAAATTTGTTACTTGGTGATTCATTTCATTGTATCAATTTCTGAGGATTCCATTATTACGTCACACTTAAAGATCGATTTTCCCTAAATACAGTCTTTTTCTTGGATTATTCTGTCCATATTAAGGGTTGCATCCTCAAAATTTTGGATACTTTATCTTAGAATTGTTATACGTTGAACTAACCGGAAGGTCACAGACTCTATCCTAGTGTTAACCAAGAAAATTCCTCAGGATTTTTTCAGTGGGTCAGAACAGAGGACCTGGCAAGGAAAAGTGTATAGCTATTAGTATAGGACAAAAAAGCAAACAAAATGCTAAAAACAAGTTCCAGTGTATACCATTGCTCACATTTGGAAATCGGGCGTATGCCCATTTTCATTGCCTCAGATGATGGAGAAAAGAAATATGTTAAAACCCTATTTAACTTTTGAAATGAATTGAACTGGAACAGTTTTCAGGAATCAGATTTACTCGTCAAATGTTTTTAATAATTTGAACTTTATTTGTGTTTTTCAGGTTGTAGGAGGGGTAGTGTATTCAGACCAGATGACCTTTAGAACAAGTTGACCAGCATCTTCAAACATGATTCCTAGATCCACAATAACCGCTTATTTACCAGTCCTTATATTACAGATAGTTTTATTACAGTTAACAGGTAAAAATATCTTTTATTCAGGAATTTTGACAGGGAGGATGCGGGGTGGAGACATATGGGGATTTAACTCATGAATTTGACGGAGAAGCGGAGGATCCCTACCCCTTGAATTCCCCCTCTGGACATCTACCTGTTATTATATTTAAGTTTTTCATTTCTCAGTTTAAGTTCTAGTTTTAGGTTTATGAAAATTGAAAATGTACAAGTAAGCCAGATGTAACAACTCGACGATTAAATAAAGGTTTAAATTGTACCATGATTATTTACAAGCCATAGATTGAATGAAAACCGTGAACTGGAGTGCATTCGTAATCAATTCCATGATTAAGTAATGAATTGGGATTAAATAAGGCTATAGGTTGAATGAAACTATTATTACAGTTTATTCGTAATATCATTTAATCTTGTGCTCTGATGGATCGATGTGACAATTATATCTTTTACATCATCACAGCATCCGATTACTGTAAATTTTACCATGATATCATCTGGTTACTTCAGGATCTGTAAATGTTACCATGAGAGGATCTGGTGACTGCAGGACCTGTAAATGTTACCATGAGAGGATCTGGTTACTGCAGGACCTGTAAATGTTACCATTAGATGATCTGGTTACTGCAGGTCCTGTAAATATTACCACAAGGGCATCTGGTTACTGCAGGTCCTGTAAATATTACCACAAGGGCATCTGGTTACTGCAGGTCCTGTAAATATTACCACAAGGGCATCTGGTTGCTGCAGGTCCAGTAAATGTTACCACAAGGGCATCTGGTTACCGTACTGCAGGTCCAGTAAATATTACCACAAGGGCATCTGGTTACTGCAGGTCCTGTAAATATTACCACAAGGGCATCTGGTTACTGCAGGTCCTGTAAATATTACCACAAGGGCATCTGGTTGCTGCAGGTCCAGTAAATGTTACCACAAGGGCATCTGGTTACCGTACTGCAGGTCCAGTAAATATTACCACAAGGGCATCTGGTTACTGCAGGTCCTGTAAATATTACCACAAGGGCATCTGGTTACTGCAGGTCTAGTAAATGTTACCACAAGGGCATCTGGTTACTGCAGGTCCAGTAAATATTACCACAAGGGCATCTGGTTACTGCAGGTCCAGTAAATATTACCACAGGTCCAGTAAATATTACCACAAGGGCATCTGGTTACTGCAGGTCCTGTAAATATTACCACAAGGGCATCTGGTTACTGCAGTTCCAGTAAATATCACCACAAGAGCATCTGGTTACTGCAGGTCCTGTAAATATTACCATGAGAACATCTAGGTTACTGCAGGTCCAGTAAATGTTACCATGAGAACATCTAGGTTACTGCAGTAAAACAATTAATTTATTAAATGTTTTGTTTATTTTAGGTGCCAATTATAGTCCACCTCGGATAAATGAAAATGCGTTTAAGATAAGGAATGTATATTTTAAAGAAGAAGAAGATATAGAACTTCCATGTTCTGCGGAAGGTACCCCTCCACCAGTGTAAGTTTATTTACTTTTATTTATAATCGCCGACCATCTTCGTTACGGAGCCGCTTAGGCTCTCTAGCCAGGAGATCCTAAGTTTGATCTTGGTGTTGTTCGAGAAAGTTCTCCAGGATTTTCTGGATTGGTTTTCCCTGGTCAGTGGTGTGCACGAACGAGGGCCTTGCAAAGAACAGTGTCTAGTCGTACAGATGGGAAGAAACACCGAAATAAGAGTAAGCCATTGCGCCTCTCTCCAGGCATACTGCCCATCTTCAGAAGCCTGGTTGGTGCAGAAGAGTAGGGCGTTATACCCAGTTTCTTTATTTTATTCCAACCTCGTGGTTTTTCTCCGGACTGTCCGGATTCCTCCCACTGCTAAAGACCCCTATATGCAAGCGAATTATTGAAACAAAATTGAACCATATGTAAATTTTAGTCTCGAAATGACCTAGTTTTTGTGGAAGTAATTTTGATGTATTTTTTTATTTTGTTTTTCAGGTATTCGTGGATAAAAGATGGCGAAGAAATAGATTTAGAATCTCCAGAAAATAAAGGACGCATGTCTTTTATTAATGATGGAGGGTCGTTACACGTTAAACCCGCCAAAATAGAGGATGAAGGAATATACCAGTGTCGGGCACGAAACGCCCATGGTATTAGTTTATCTGTGAAAGTGAATGTGAGACAAGCGAGAATCGAACCTTTTAGAACAAGAGAACCAGAATTGTTACGACCTCTCTTGTCACATGCGTTAAAGTTAGTTTGTGTTCCACCATTAAGTGTTCCACCTGCAAAGATTAGTTGGATTATCGATAAAGGACTTGATGATGAAGATCAAGACTCAAACGACCAGGGTGCTTTTAATTCTGTGAATTTAGATGATAGGATTACAATGGATTTTAGTGGTAAGAAACGATGGCTTCAAAATTTATTGTTTATAGATTTATTGAAATAGATTTTATGTATTGAAATCTGTGAAAATTAAAAATGCTTTAAAAGAACGGATTACTAGACCCGGAAATAATGTCAGGCACTAATAAACTGAATGCATGACATTTTTTAACTCTAGGAGGGCCCGGTTTCGATCCTGGTGTTTTTCCCTTGTCAGTGGTGCAGGTTGGAGAACCTGGCAAGAAAAATTGTTTAGTCGTTCGGATGAGATGAAAAACAGGTTCACCCATATCACCCATATCACCCATTTGAACGACTATACTTTGTCCCTTGCCAGGCCCTCCACCCTGCACTACTGACAAGTGGGAACCACACCACAAAATCCTGATAAATTTTCAACGCAGGGATCAAACATTCGGTTTAGTGAGCCACCGCGGCTTCCCTTTATGTAGTAGACATGGTCTCTCCGGATACAATATAAGGTGGACTGTTGCAAACCACAAATAATAGGTTGAACTGGACTAGGATAAAGATTTCTGAAAGCGATTGGAACCAAATTAATCATTCTCTAACGAAGATGTCTCCTTCATCTGTCTGTCTGATGTCACACTTTTTAGGACACAATATCCTTGCTTCGAATTGAGATAGAATGTTAAAACTTGACATAGGCAAAAAAGATTCAAGTATAAATTTTATGAATGGTTTGAATATTAAATTAGACCACGATAAGTCATAATAATTTCGATATGTTTCAGGTAATTTATACATCACTAACGTAAAATTTGAGGATGCTCAGAATGGTAATAAATATGTTTGTATGGCTAATAACGCACAGGTACGATCGTTTAATCAAGGTGAAGACAAGATAGTAGAACCACTAGGAAGTAAGTATATTTGTCCCTTAATCCAATAACTCAAATAAAAACATTTTGATAAGGTGTGAAATATCATTCATTATTGAAAAATACAAATAAATGGTTAAATTAGACCCCAAATCTGACTGCATATACAAATATATCTACCTTTTGCCTACCCATCTAATAGACCATTATACACCATATCTACATAATACACCATACATAATATACCAATACACACCATAAACATAATACACCAATATACACCATATACATAACACACCATAATACACCATATACATAATGCACCAATACACACCATAAACATAATGCACCAATACACACCATAAACAACACACCATTACTCACCATATATACATAATACACCATTACACACCCTATCTACATAACACACCATTACACACCCTATCTACATATGGTGTTTAACCCCATTTTTCTCTCTATATATATATAGCATCATTCATATCCTTATTAGGATTTATTTTCTAAAAAAAAATTATATTTTAAGTTTTATTTCTTTTTGTTGATTTTTTTTATGAACATTATATTTTATTTTTAAAACAAATTGTTGCTATCCATCTATATAGCATCATTTATATTCATATTAATTTATTATCTAAAAGCATGTCTTTGATTATTTATGTTTTAAGTTTTAAAACTGCTGATTGATATTTGCATTCTTAGAAAATATCTTTTTTCATGGCTTCATCCTCACTGTAATGTACTCTGATTTATTATTTGGCTGGAGGGCCTGACAAGGGCAGATGTCTAGTAGTTCGGATGGGACGAAAAACCAATGACCCGTGTATACATTGGCATGCACGTAAAAGATCCCTTGGCGGTTGGAATTCGATATAAGAGTAGGCCACCGCCCGGGCAAAATTTTCCTTATAGCACACTGTATGGCGTATGCCCGTCTTCATTAGCCTTGTCGGAGCAGTACAGGAGGATGTTAAACCCCCATTTCATTTCATTTCTAATTCATTTAATATTTGATTAAGAAAACAAAACAAAATTGTCAGCGATAGATAATCTCCCGGCTTGGATTGAATTGGATTAAAAAGAGGCCCAGTTTTATACATCCACATTGAAATATTGTCATATTGTCGTCAATACCATCTGTCGGTCTGGCATCCACAATTGCTTGTGGACGCTCTAGAATCTATTTAAAGTTAATATCCGATTGACTTTAAATTTATATGCACTGTTTAAGGTCATGAGACGAAGAAGCCAATTGATTTTCAACGATTTCTGAAATTACTTCCAGAGTTAAGGCCCTTGATATTAAATGTTTTGGTATACTAAACGTTAGAACTAGAAGCCAAACAATTTCTATTGATTTCTGATACTTACTTAATGTGTGTTGTAAATGGTTCATTACTGACAAAAGAAAAAAAAAATGCGACAACACTTGACTGTCCGGTCGACTTACATGTAACTGCTGGGGGCGTATCTTTTTTTGCCTTTCAACCTATCTTTACTCCTTTTAGAGATTCGACTTTCACAATATTTTAGTTTCCCAGGGATTCAAAATCCATCATGAATGACAATCAGCAGTTTTAATAATTTATTTTTGTTTTATTATTTATTAGGGTTATGCTTTATTTCAAGTGAATCTTATTTGAATAATTTATTCTATTATTTGATTATGTTTAGTTGAAGGACAGTGTAAGTTATAAATAGTATTATATGTAATCAGGGTGGATTGGTTTTTGCTTGTACAGTCTGTTAGCTTATTAGTCAATTCTTGACATCTAGAACTTGTAGGATTGTATAACATATATTTTATCTAATATAAATAATGTACTAATGGCACATTATTTGAAATAATGATACACCAACATCAAAGGGTCAAGTCACATCTGTATTATATATCCATATACATGTATAATGTATACTAGGTTGTGAATGTTTATTAACAATAATAACCAACCTGGTCACTATTATAAATGTCAAATAATCTTGATCTGATTAAACCTGAATGTAGAACTATAACTTGATCTGATCAAACCTGAATGTAGTAGCAGGACTACAACTTGATCTGATCAAATCAAGATGTAGGTGGGACTACAAGTTTTGCTAGTTGATTTTTGAGCTTGTAGTTTTGATTGACAGGTCGTTTTGTCCTAGCAAACGTTTCCTTGCTTGCCAGACATTATAATCAGATCACTCAGTATGTTGAAGAATTCTGTTAGATTGACCTAGACTTTAGAATCTGTAATAATATAGTTAGTCTAGTTTAACCCTTTAAACCTGAGCTATCAGACTTCGAACCCTTATGCTGCAGGGCCCCGTGAAAGAGCAGCCAACTCCCTGGTCTCGGCCTTCACATCTATATATATAGACACCAACTGTTAGTTTCTATAGCACCCCAAGGTAAAATATTAAAGACAAATCAAGAAAGCAACGTTGTGGTGCTCCAATACGAGCAGCTGGTTCTATTCAGTTCAGACATCGGACGTCTAGGCAACAACTGTCACAGGAACGTCCAGGGACCTGTGGGGGAGGGGGGGGGTTAAAAACTTTAAAGGTGAATACCGACTCGAAAAATCTATTAAACAATTAAGATACCTGTAAAGGTTCTGCTATCAATGAACTAACAAATAGAACGCTTGCTTATAATTAACAACAATAGCGCATGATGCCAATATATTAAGATGATTAGAATATAGTTATAACGTAGAGGTAGTAAAATACTAGTTAAACACTGACTCTGTCGCTACTTGTATGCATTTGTATAGATTTCAAGAGGGTGCAGGTTTGGAAGAGTGGATTTTATACAATCCTGGAAATAATGATTTAGGCCAGATCTGGCCCTGGTTTCACAAACCATTCTCAGTAAGAATTTACGCAACTTTCAATCACTGTTTCTGAGAAATATCTTTGATCCAGAAACACAAAACTTTGCACATAGTTTCTTATTGATGTATTTGATACATTAAAACAACCAAAGTTTTATAGCTTTTGAGCCTTCGCCCCACAAACTTGTAATACAAGCAATTATTTATAGTATTTCTGTCGTAGAAACTCCTTGGATTTAACCATTTGTGCATTTCCATGGAAACAAATTTGGCATATTTTTTGCCTTTTGGTATACATGGGCGTGAGATGTTTATAATAGAATCATTTTGGTACCAGAAATAATTATTCTCTGAAGTAGGAAAATATAAGCTAGAAGTTATGAATTACATTTTTAGTACTGTTAGATTTTACTTTCTTATATCTTTTTATTTTTCATGACATAATGCTGGCCATGAATTACCCCTTTAGTTCCTTTTGTTATCCTATATTTTAAGTTAAATGATTTTCAATTGTGTAATGTTTCAGACCATTAGAAAATGGTGTATATTAAAGAAAAAAAAAAGTTCAGTCTTTAATTATTGTTGAAGAATTTTGCCCAGATACGATCACCACCACTGAATAATTAGACGAACTAATGAATAACAGTAGGAAAGAAATGGTTGTAATATATTCCAGTTTAAATAAATCAATTTTTGTTTTGTTTCAGTGCAAGGTTCAAATCTGCCCGTAGAGATGTTGTGGCATTCTAATACTGATGTAGAAGGCCTGGTTGGAAGAACAGTTCGATTTAAATGTATATTCTCTGGAAAGTATGTAAACGATGTTGTCGTGAACCTAGACGTTTTATATTGATATTAGATTTAAATGTGGCCCTAGCAGACGAATGATTAATACTAATTATTTAAACAGATAGGTTGTTTTGGCATCAGATGAATTTGAATGTCAATATATAGATAAAAACGAGCCATGACTGGTTTCCACGAAATGATTCCCCTGAGAAAAATAAACATTTTAATATTGATCTCGATGAATGATCTTAAGAATTTTATGCTATACGTCGATTTGATAAAAACATAAATTTTATTTTATTTGTTAAACCTTTAGCCTTTGGACTGCCTGAAATTGCTGCTCCCTCTAGGGTATCAAATTCTTAATCTTTTAGTAGGCCTACTCTGGCTGTCTGAAACCCCTGTCTCCTTTAGCATCTCAAATTATTCTTATCCCTTTCGTATTTGGGCAGCCTGAAACTGCTGCTCCCTATAGCGTATCAAATTTTTAATCCTTTAGTACTTGGACTGCCAGAAACAGCTACCCCCTTTAGCATCTTGAATAAAAAATTCTAAACCATTTACCACTTGGGACTGCCTGAAACAGCTGCAGTTCAGCTGCACCCTCCCCCCCCCACCCCAATTCTTAACCATTTACCAGGACTACCTGAAACTGCTTCTCCCTCTAGTATCTCAAATTCTTAATTGCACTACCTGAAACTAGCGCCTCAAATTCTTAATTGCACTACCTGAAACTAGCGCCTCAAATTCTTAACCCTTGGACTGCTCGAAACCACTGCCTGAGCCGCTTGAGTAGCCGTGAACTATTTAAGTACTGTATACTCCAGCCAGTTGAGGCAGTCTGTGAAACAGTTGTTTCGGGCTCCAACCTCGTGGGTTTTCTCCGGGTCCTCCGATTTCCTCCCACTGCTAAAGACCCCTACGCGCAAGCGAATTATGTAAATAAAATTAAACCATATGTTAGTCCCGAAATGACCTAGTTTGTGTCGAGTGGACGTTAAACCCCATTTCTCTCTCTCTCTCTCTCTCTCTAGTTGTTTCGGGCAGTTTTTCGAAAATGAGCTGCAAAACTGAACCCAAAAATGTGATAGAATATTTATAGGCAGATAACCAATGAAATGATAGGTTCTTTTGAGTTCTTTTGAGCTTTGTCTTAATGAATGCACAGAATTCTGGGAGATACTATAGAAGTATTAAAGCAAAAGAAAAATGGATGGTAGATGTAAGCAAGTCTGGACATAATGCATCTGTCACAGATTTTGTCAGACACAAATTACCTCACGTTTTTATACACCCACATTTTCATGTAGACGCATTATGCTGTCTCCCCTGTCCGTCTGGACATCCGTTCTCATTTGAATTGGACCGTAACGTAAGGATTATCCGATTTTGATGAAACTTAAAATATATATGTTTATATCCCAAAGATCTTGGTTCCTGTTGATATTGTTGAATGTCGGACCATAGCATCCTGGATGATGGCCCATGATTGTACGAAAAATCGTTTTTTAGCTTATTCTCTGTCCATCTCTTACAAAATGTGGGCGAATCTTGCATGACAACTGCTTGTTAATTCGAATATGATGAAAAATACTGAATTAGAGGTTGAGCTTCTTTAACGATCTTAATTCATTATTTCAAATTTCAGTCCACAACCCCATATTACATGGATTAGAGTAGAAAAGAAAGCCGAAGCCGATAGAATGAAACAGAGCGCAGATAAATTTGAGTTTGTTATAAGGAAAGTTCAGTATAGTGATGCTGGTGAATACGAATGTGCAGGATTTAATGGAATTTATGAACATCCAATCAAACATCGTTTCCGTTTGAACGTAGAAGGTAAGAACTACATCGATTATAATTATACTCTGGACAAAATACTGTTAAATTTTGTATACATGTTTTGCCCATAAATTTCTGACATGTCCTACGTGTACTCATGCATGTCTTACCATTGGTTGTGAGAAAAAATGGGCCTTCACCTTGTATATGAAATGCAAGATCGTTTCCATCGGAACATACATGATTATACTCGGGACAAAATAGGGTTAAATTTGTATACGGTGTCAAATATGTTCCCACATGTCTTACTATTGGTTGTGAGGAAACATCAGGACTGTCAGTTGATTGATTGTAAATCAGGACTGTCAGTTGATTGTGTGTAAATCGGGACTGTCAGTGATTGAGTGTAAATCAGGACTGTCAGTTGATTGATTGTAAATCAGGATTGTCCATTGATTGATTGTTAAGCGAAGCTTATGTTGATCTTACAACTTAGAGAAACTTGTGTTTCGGGAACTGAGAGCAACTTACATGAAAACTGAAAATGGGTTGATGTGTAAAATGAGAGATTTATTTTATTATTTTAACAGCTAAACCTCGATGGACCAAGAAACCAACTGATATTGAGGCTGGTGTGGAGGAAGATGTTACATTTTTATGTGAAGGGGAGGGAACTCCTACACCAGATGTTCAATGGTTTATCAATGGGAAACCTTTAGAACGTAAGAATCTATATATATTCTACTCTGTCAACATTCCCCATTGATGGATTTATATGTATATATTAGGCCTACTCATTCTTTCTGTGTACTGTAGGATCCCTTGTTAGTAAGACTTTTATACAGAAATCCATGTTATTAAATATAAATGTACTTAACTTAACGTACTTATAAACACACTTACAAAAAAAAAAAGAGAAACATTTTCTGTATGATTTTGATTGTGGAGACCCCTACATTTAATCAATTTAATCCAATAAAAATGTATCACATTTTAGTCCCAAATTGACCTAGTTAAATCCCATTTCTCTCTCTCTGTCTCAAAGGAATTTATTGAGATGTAAAAGTTGATATTTTTCGTTTTTCAGAAGCAACAGAAATTACAAGACGAACATTCCGTAAAGGTCAACTAATGTTCACTGATCTTCAGGAGTCTGATTCTCAGGTTATTCAATGTAACGTCTCTAATGTTCATGGATTTCTCTGGGCAGACGTGTTTCTTAATGTTTTGGGTAGGTTAAACTAAAATAACTGTAATATCTAAGCAATTATGGCAAGGATGCTATTTCAAATTTTTTTGTGTTGAACATTTTTACAGACTGATAAAGGGGCATAACTCTTATTTATTTGGACTCAAGACTAGCAATTATTTGCCCATTGACTTCAATGTTAAATGGCTGTAACATCACAGGCGGTAGCTTTTTGCTCAACATTCCGTTGGTTCCAATCTTTATAGGCACAATGGGGACCACATTTGGCAATCTCCTCATCATAATTTTGTACAGGGTTAACCATTTAGATTTTTTGCTACGGGGATTTAAAGTTGACTGGGGTGAAAATCTCACTTCCGACACAATGATTGCTCTGCAGAAAGACACTTTACACCCCCTATCCCTCTGCTGTAATATCATCAGTATTACCCCAAACTGCTTTGAAATTGCAAATTTGATCCCTTTTCTCCAATTTTAGACCAAAGAGTCAACCCAAAAATGCAGGAAGAGGGGAGAAAAAAATTCAGGGAAAAATTGTCAATTTATAACTCGCACTACATTCGTCCATCATGATGTAAGGGGAAATAATTACTAGTCTTAGTCCATTTCTCTCTCTCTCTAAAGCAATTCATTTGTATATTTACAGCCATTCCAGCTACAGTAACTAAAAGACCAGAACCCTCGATGAAAGTAGCAGAAGATAAAACAGTGAAAATAACATGTCAGACAGAAGGTAAACCCACACCAACTGTCACATGGTTTAAAGGTGACCAACAATTACTAGGAGGGCGTTATAACATATTGCCAACTGGTGATTTAGTTATAAATGTAAGTTAGATTTATGTTTTATATAACATATTACCAACTGGTGATTTAGTTATAAATGTAAGTTAGATTTATGTTTTATATAACATATTACCAACTGGTGATTTAGTTATAAATGTAAGTTAGATTTATGTTTTATATAACATATTACCAACTGGTGATTTAGTTATAAATGTAAGTTAGATTTATGTTTTATATAACATATTACCAACTGGTGATTAAGTAATAAATGTAAGTTAGATTTATGTTTTATATAACATATTACCAACTGGGGATTTAGTTATAAATGTAAGTTAGATTTATGTTTTATATAACATATTACCAACTGGGGATTTAGTTATAAATGTAAGTTAGATTTATGTTTTATATAACATATTACCAACTGGGGATTTAGTTATAAATGTAAGTTGGATTTATGTTTTATTATTCTTATACCATGTGGGGGTTGGATGGCCAAATAGTTAGCAAGTGCGCCCTGCATCATGCGGTCTGTCATTGAGTCAACTGGCGGGGTTTCGATTCCCAGGTTGTACGTGACAAGGAGTAGGGTCGCCTGTCCAATCTCATGGGTTTTCTCCGGGTCCTCCAGTTTCCTCCCCCTGCTGAAGCGAATTATTTAAATAAAATTGAACCATGTGTTAGTCCCGAAATGACCTAGTTTGTGTTGAGTGGACGTTAAACCCCCTTTCTCTCTCTCTCATATACCATGTCTGGTTGATGATTGGGGGTTGGGTGGCAGAATGGTCTTTTGCGTGCGCTTTTTATCACAGGTCTGTCATTGAGCAATCTGATTAAAATACAGATCTATATTTCGTTTCGTTTCGTTCTTTTATACTTTTGATGGCATCTACTACATGAAGATCTGACCGGTTGTAGTTGAAGTTCACGTTAGAGGTCATACAAGCGACTTTTTGACCCTATCACATCAGACATTTGATAAACCAATCATCGTTGATGTTTCTAGTGGGTTACCCACAATTCTGTGCACCTCATGTCATTCGGATGGGACGAAAAACTGAGGTCATGTGTATATGTAAAAGATCCCTTGACAGTTGGAATTCGAAAAGTAGGCCGTAGTGCCGCTGTCCGGGCAAAATTTCCCTCATAGCACACTGTATGGCATATGCCCGTCTTTATTAGCCCAGGTTAGGAGCAGAAAAATAGGACGTTTAAACCCCATTTCATTTCATGTAATTATTTGAACAGGGTGTACGGTTACGAGATAGTGGTAATTATAGATGTTTTGTGGAGAATAGATTTGGTAAAGACAATGCTAATGGTACCTTGGTGGTTAGAGGTAAGATAATACAAATATACAATGCATATTACATTCATATACACAAGGAAACGTGCACATTTTTACTGGTTACATGAAAATGATCCCATTATGTTTGCATTAGAAAACGCATACATGGAAAACAGGCCTTAGACATTCCACCAGTCTTTGTCTCACTGATAATATTTTTCAGCCAATCTTCTGGCCAGAAGTTGTAAGTAGGGAACGAAATTACTCAAGAAAAAAACAACCCAAATATTAGTCCAATCTAAAGTCTTCCAATGTTAAAAGCAAGAAATGATCAAAGAAACTGTCATATTATAGTGATTTTTTTAAATATTCTAATTTAGAACACATATTCTGGCTGACTGAACCCCACCTCCAGAAAACTACAATCCAATCTAAAATCTTGCAATGTTAAAAACAAGAAATAATTCAAAGAAACTGTCTATTATATGGAGTAAATTTTTTTCAGAATTTATTTTTAGAACACATCTTGTCTGACTGACATTTTTTAAAACTATGACTCTTGATTTAATTTTCTATTTATTAGGAAAGACGTTGATAGCAACTGAACCTGTAAATCTTCAACCAATTCACGGGAACGACGCCATGTTCAAATGTGACGCCCTGACAGATCCACATGAGAAACACAAGTTAAAATACACCTGGTATTTGGACAATGAACCTGTTATTATTGACAACGATCGAGTCTTACAAGAAAATGGAGATTTGATTATTAAGAATACCAACAGTAAAGATACAGGGAATTACACCTGTATAGCGAGTAATGGTTTAGATGAAGATAAGGCATGGGCAACGATGAAAGTTAAAGGTATTTTATCATTCTATAACTGTAGCTTTAAATGGGGGGTTGGATGGCCGAATGGTTAGCATGTGCGCATTGTGTCATAAGGTTGAGTCAACTGGTGTGGTTTCGATTCCCCAGTTGTACGTGACAAGGAGTAGGGTTGCCTGTCCAACCTCGTGGGTTTTCTCCGGGTCCTCTGGTTTCCTCCCACTGTTAAAGACCACTACACACAAGCAAATTATTGAAATAAAATTGAACCATATGTTAGTCCCTAAATGACCTAGTTTGTGTCGAGTGGGAGTGGACCTTAAACCCCCCTCTCTCTCTCTCTCTCTCTCTCTCTCTCTCTCTCTCTGTAGCTTTAAAATAAGGTTTCAACATTTGTATTTCTCAGACAGTTTGCTTTGAAAGAGTATATAGCCATTCTTGAATGAGTTTGTGATAGAACTGTCTATTTTTAAACCGTCTATTGCATACACTTTAGATCATAAGGTCTATCATTGAGTCAAGTGGTGTGGGTTCGATCACACACTTATAAATAACCTCATGGGTTTTCTCTAGATCCTCTGGTTTCCTCCCACTGTGAAAGACCTCTACATGCAAGCAAATTATTGAAATATAATTGTACCATATGTTAATCCTGAAATGATCTAGTTTGTGTCTAAGTGAATGTTAAACCGCACTTCTCTCTCTCCCTCTGGTTTCTTCCCACTTCTAAAGACGACAATGCGCAAGCAAATTATTGAAGTGAAATTGTACCACATGTTAGTCCCGAAATGATCTAGTTTCTGTCGTTTAAACCTTAAATCCGACTTCTTTCTCTCTCCCTTATGTCAATTTTTTTTTTATTTTCAGCTCCACCGGATCCACCCTACAATGTTACTGTGTTAACATGTCTAGGTAGAGAGGCACAGATTCGATGGGAGTTTGATGCCAGTCAAGAGAATTTCTCACCGTTACAGAAATTTATCTTAGAATACAACACCTCATATGCACCGGAACACTGGGAGATGGGAGCTCAACCTAAAGCCAACGAAAGACAGGCCAAGATTATTCTTTCTCCGTATGCTAATTATACATTCCGTATTAAAGCCGTGAATCGGATTGGAGTCGGTCAGGCCAGTCCTCATACATCGGTCATCTGTCGAACACCGATAGCTCGTCCAGGTCATCATCCCGAGAATGTGAAAACTGTTGGAGAAAAAACCAACTTTTTGATCGTGGAATGGGAGGTAAGTGAAGTAAAGGAATTTTATATGTTTTGTCAGCTTTGCGTTAATTAACTTTGATGTTATTTTATAACTTGCTTAGTCTGGACATGACACACCATATACTTAACACAACTGTCACACAACACACCATATCTGTAACACCACTGCTATGGTGTCACACAGCCCAGTGCTACACTGTCACACAGCACACCATATACTTAACATGGCTGCTACACACATTCACAGCACACCAAATACTTAACACCTCTGCTACAGTGTCACACATCACACCACTGCTACAGTGTCACACTGCACACCATATACTTACCACTGCTACACTGTCACACAACACACCATATACTTAACACAACTGCTACAGTGTCACACAGCACACCATATCCATAACACCACTGTTACAATGTCGCACAGCACACCATATACTTAACACCACTGCTACACTGTCAAACAAGACACCACTGCTAAACACTGAATTCTAATTTCTAAAATTTGTGTTTCAGCCAATGGAGAAGATCGATCTAAATGCCGAAGGTTTTTTTTATAATATAACGGTACAGAAAGAAGGAGATGACACGGTAGAAAGTTATATCATAGATGATCATACAATCAGTCGTAAAGAAATACCTGTTGATACTGTCTACGAGCGTTATATTGTTACTGTACAAGCTAAAAACCAAGTCGGTTGGCCGTTACGTGAAGCTACACCTATCACAGGATATTCTGGACAGGCTGGTAAGCAAAAATTTGGAGGTCTTTAAATAATAATGGATTGTTGTAGCCATAGTTTTAAATTCTTCTACTTCTGATTATTATATAATAATAATCAATTTGTATAGCGCTCAGTGGTTTCAATTCCCTGGTTGTGCGTGACAAGGAGTAGGGACGCCTGTCCAACCTCGTTGGGTTAGTCTGGGTCCTCCGGTTTCCTCCCACTGGTAAAGACCCATATGTGCAAGTGAATTATTGAAATTTAATTGAACCATGTGTTGGTCCCGAAATGACCTAGTTGGTCTATCTCTCTCTCTCTCTCTCTCTCTCTCTCTCTCTCTCTCCAGCTAATAAACTGCTCCAAGACGCTCTTTACAACTAAAATACATATAACTTAAAACAATAGTTTTAAAACATTAAAAAATTAGAATGTCAACTCATAGTTTAAAAAGTTCAGTTTTAAGATTCTTTTTAAAAACATTAGAAGAGTTTTTTTTTTTTTACATGACTAAGTAATTGATTCCAGTAAAACTAAGCATCAAATCAAGGAATAAAACATTACATTTCAGTAGGACTGCTGTATGTTGTCTGGCAACCTCTTTACTCAATATATTAAAAAATTGTGTGTTTTTTTTGACAGCACCGTTAGTGGTTCCTCAAAATTTTGAGTTAGATCCGGAAAAGAATATTTCTAGTGCAAGCGCCGGATTCCGATGGGATCCAGTTGACACGAGTCCAAAATCAATGCAAGGAGAGTTCACAGGTTACAAGGTCAGTTTTTCAGTTCCTAGATAGAAAATATCGTGTAATTTTCTCTGTCTGTTCTGGGTGTTGTATTGTTTTGACATTCTCAACAACAGGTTCATACAACAAATTAAATCACTGTTAGAGCGGTCAAGTTGGAATCCGGGGGGCGGGTCTGGCAAGGAAAGTGTTGCCTTTTCATTCACATTGGATGAAAGTCAGAGGCTAAGCCACGTATGCATTGAGATGAAAGTAAAGGAAACCTTAACAGATGACAATCAAAGGTGAAATTCTTCTTCATGAATCTGCACACGTAACCATAGAAACAACAAATCAGACAACACAATCACGTTTCTTGGGGGATGAGACTATATTCAACAAGTCGATCGTTTATTGAAATGTACCTGATTACTTGTTTATTGGTGCATAACGAAGGGCCTGGCAACGGACAACATCTAGTCATTCGGATAGGACGAAAAACCAAGGTCCCGTGTACACATTGGCATGCAAGGGAAAGAAGCCTTGACAGTTGGAATTCGATACAAGAGTAGGTCGTAGTGCTGCTGTCTGGGCAAAAATTTCCCTCGTAGCATACAGTATGCTGTATGCCCATCTTCATTAGTCAGTGCAGAACAGTAGGACGTTAAACCCTATTTCATTTGTTTCTATAGGTGAGAGTGTGGAAGAAAGATCAACAAGACACAACAATGAAAGAAATATTTATTCCTCACACCCCATCACGAGGTAAACGACGACGGAAGCGAAGGCAGGTGGAAAAAGTAAGGACAGAAGTTCGAGACCTGCCGTCATTCTCGGACCTAGAGGCTGATGTGGTAGCAACTAATGCTTATTTTAGTTCTAATGGTAGTAATGTCATTAACTTTACAACACCAGAAGGAGGTAAGATATCGCAGTATTACATCATATACTAGTACTCCCACAAGTATTGGCAGTTTGGGAGCCACGGTGCCTAGGTGGTTAAGACACTGGCTCGCTAGCCTGGAGGTCGGGTGTTCGATCCCTGCATTGGCCGAGAAAGTTCATCTGGATTTTCCGACGTGGTTCCCCTTGTCAGTGGTGCAGAACGGAGGGCCTGACAAGGACAGCTGTCTAGTCCTTCGGATGAGACAAAAAAACGTAGTCCCGTGTATACATTGGAATGCACGTAAAAGATCCCTTGGCAGTTGGAATTCGATATAAGAGTAGGCGATAGTGCCGCTGCTCGGGCAAAATTTCCCTCATAGCACACTGTATGGCGTATGCCCATCTTCATTAGCCCAGTATAGGAGCAGTAGGACGTTAAACCCCATTTCATTTCATTGGCAGTTGGAATTCGATATTAGAGTAGGCTGTACTGGCGCTGTCTTAAGATATCGCTGTACCACATCATATACCACACTGTAGGACTCGCACATGTATTGACTGTCGGAATTCGATATAAGAGTAGGCTCTAGTGGTGCTGTCCTTGCAAAATTTCCCTTATAGCACAATGTATGGTGTCTTCATTAGCCCGAAGTCTTAAGCTTTTTTAGAAGAGCATCGCCTCCCAGAAGAACAACTACAAGCAATCTGATTAGAATACAGATCTATATTTCGTTTAGTTTTTTAATACTTTGGATGGCCTGTTGTAGTGGAAGGTTGTGTCAGGGGTCATGAAAGCGGCTTTTGACCTTATGATGTCAATTATTTGATTAATCAATCAGTGTTGATGTTTCTAGTGGGTAACCCACAGTTCCGTGCACCTCACGCCAAAAACTCGCCGTAACAGACCGTTTCATTGGCTAATCCCTAACATCATCCATAACGCAGGTTATATAACAACTCTTCCAGATCCTAGTGTAGTAAAGACAAGTAAAACAAAATTTTGAACAATAAAAAAACGAAACGAAATAGGATCTGTGTTTTACTCAGATTGAACTACAAGCTGAGTATCACTTGGTGATAAATTACTGGTCCAATAATATACAAGAGCACAAAAAAGTTGACTTTGATAGACAAATGATAAAGTTGCATTATTGTAAAACTTTGAGAGTTTTTATTGATTCGTGCATTGTTTTGTAATAAGATATATATTTATATATGTATGTTTTATATATTTGATAGTACCAACTGCTGTATCGTATTTCACGGCTGTAAATGTAGGATCAACACACTTTACGTTAGCCTGGGGTGAACCTGTAGAAAAGAATGGTATTATAACTGGTTATGATATCGGTTATCAACCCAGTAAGTTATTAATTTATATTACTATATATGGTCATTTATATGTCTTAATATTGGGGCCGTGGTACTCTCGACTAGGATGTTCCAGGTGTGAAAACCTGACTGACTTGATAAAAATTCTTCCCCTCACATTGCAACCATAACCCTAAAAATAAGAATGAATACATGTTGGTCTCAGACAACCAAAATATTTTGTTGACAAGAGTTTAAACCATATCCACACAGAGATCCATATACTTCATACTTCAAGAATAGATCTCTGTTCAAAATGGCCGCCATATCTTAAAATTAGTATACTGTTCTGGGATGCGGTTCTATTCTGTTTCACATCTGTCATACACACAAAGACTAAATAAACTTTTTCAATTCTATTAAATGCAAGCAGAATAAAAACTTAACAAAATTCTCGAAATATACTTAGTGTTTTCGACTAAAATGGTTGATTTAGTACTTAAAATGTTTGATTTAGCGCTTAAAATGTTTGATTTAGCACTTAAAATGTTGGTCAACTAGCTTAGTGTCTGTTTTCAACCAGCTCTATTTTAGTATAGAGGTTGATATTGAGCTTGGGCGCATATATCAACATCAAAACAACTGTGGATGTTATTTTGATTGAATGTTTTTTTAATTTAAAGTTAATGGTATTGTTTATGGAGACATGAAGGAAATGGAAACACTAGGTGCTGATGTACATCAAACATATCTCGGTGGTTTAGAAGCAGACACACAATATCGTATATTTATCTGGGGTAGAACACAACAAGGAAAAGGCAGCCATTATATTATAGATGTTAAAACATCAGAAAAAAGCATTCGTGAGTTTTAATTTAATTGTTTAGATGAATTTTGACATTGTGATAACACTATTGTTGGGTGGTGTGGAGGGGGGGGGGGGGGTAGGGGGGGCACTGTACGTGTATCGGTAATTATAATAACACTTGTTTACTGACTCGGAGATCCTGGCCCCAAGTTCACAAAGAATTCTTAGACTTAAGTTAAGAATTTACTCAGAATTGTTTGCCTTATTTTAACTAAAATATAGCCTTTTATAAAACTTTTGTTGTTTTCATGTATCAAATACATCAATAAGAAACTATGTGCAAAGTTTTGTGTTTCTGGATCAAAGACATTTCTCATGAACAGTGATTGAAAGTTGAGTAATTTCTTAACTTAAGTCTAAGAATGCTTTGTGAAACCGGGTCCAGGATTTGATCCCAGTGTTGGCTGAGAAAGTTTTTCAGGATTTTCCGGTCTGATTTCCCTTTCGCCTGTCCAACCTCGTGGGTTTTCTCCAGGTCCTCCGGTTTCCTCCCACTGCTAAAGACCCCTACGCGCAAGCGAATTATTGAAATAAAATTGAACCATGTGTTAGTCCCGAAATGACCTAGTTTGTGTCGAGTGGACGTTAAACCCCATTTCTCTCTCTCTCTCTGATTTCCCTTGTCATTTGGATGAGCTGAAGAGCCAAGGTCATATATGTATCTTGTTAAAGATCTCTGAATTAAGAGCAGGCCATAGTGCCGCTGTCCAGGCAAAATTTCCTCCATTGCACACAGCATGCCGTTTGCCTGTGGTCATTAGCCCAGTAGTTGGTGCAGAAAAGTACAACGTTCAACTTTATTTCAGTTCTCTTGTTGGGACATACATTTTGGAATTTCTATATTAATATTTTTCAGCATTAGCTAAGCCTGAAATATTAGAGGCCTTATCCAGACCTAATTCGGTCAACGTAACATGGAAGCTACCAGATAAAGAAGGTCAAAGAGTTGGCGCTGATTACTATGTTGAATATAAAAGATTTGGTATGTTATCTTTTTTGAGTATAGTTGAAAATACCTAAAAAAATACACGTTTTTATTACCAACATGTTTACATACAATGATTTCCAGGGTAATGAAAAGTCTTATAACATGATGTCATAAAGGCCTAAAGCAAATTGGGCGGGTGGGGGTGGGGGGGGTGGCCGAATACCGAATAGTTAGCGCATGCGCATTATTGAAATAATTAAAAACCATATGTTAGTCCCGAAATGATCTATTATTCGTTATTCATATACAAATTATGAATGTTTTCAAAACAGATTGTAAGTAAAATATAATTCTCCGATATTATCGATTGGCAGCGCTACATAGCACACTGTATGGTGTGTGCCCGCATTCATTAGCCCAGGGGAGTCATGGTGGGTAAGACGCTGGCTCGCTAGCCTGGAGGTCGGGTGTTCAATCCCTGAATTGGCCGAGAAAGTTCATCTGGATTTTCCAACGTGGTTTCCCCTTGTCAGTGGTGCAGGATGGAGGATCTGACAAGGACAGCTGTCTAGTCGTTCGGATGGAACGGAAAACCGAAGTCCAATGTATACATTGGCATGCACGTAAAAGATCCTTTGGCAGTTGGACTTCGATATAAGAGTAGGGCCATAGTGCAGCTGCCCAGGCAAAATTTCCCTCATAACACACTGTATGGTGTATGTCGTCTTCATTAGCCCAGTCGGAACAGAACAGTAGGACATTAAACTCTATTTCATTTCCATAAGTATAGTTTATTGTTGTATCCAATTACTAGTACAAGAGTAGGGCCATAGTGCCGCTGCCCGGGCAAAATTTCCCTCATAGCACACTGTATTGCGTATGCCCATCTTCATTAGCCCAGTCGGAGCAGAACAGTAGGACGTTAAACCACATTTCATTTCATTATCCCAGTTGGAGTGGAAAAGTAAGATGTTAAATTTCATTTGATTTGTATTTGTAGGTTTAGTAGGTAAATGGAATGTACACAAGAATGACGACGCCATGAATAACTGGATTGTAGTAGATAATCTGGAGTCAGGTATAGCTTACGAGGTTCGTGTCGTAGCTCAAACAGGAGTGCCTGGTGATCAAGACTATGCTCAAATGGCCAGTGAAAAACGAACTTTCACAACAGGAGGCACTGGTATGTTCATTTTGTTTATTGTTTGTTTATACTCTGCTGATATATATATATATATATATATATATATAATGTTTATGGCGTTGGAATTATAGAATTTAACGCTTTGAATTAAACCAGTATATGATAAATCAAAACTCTATGTCCATATTTTTGCACCAGGCCCAGCGCTACTCATTTTGTTGTTCTTGGGGGCTACACTCTTCAAAAAAAGCCTGTGGGCTTGGCATGCTTGTTCTTTACACAAATGCACGTCAGTAGACTTCCAAGATGAGGGGGGTTGGACTGGCGAATGGTTTGCGTATGTGCTGTATCATAAGGTCTGTCATCAAGTTAACTGGCGTGGTTTCGATTCCCCAGTTGTACGTGACCAGGAGTATGTTCGCCTGTCCAACCTCATGGGCTTTTCTCCGGGTCCTCCGGTTTCCTTCCACTACGTGCAAGCGAATTATTGAAATAAAATGGAACCATATGTTTGTCCCGAAATGGCAAGTTTGTGTCGAATGTACGTTAAACCCCACCCATTTCTCTCTCTCTCTCTCTCTCTCTCTCTCCCAAGATAACTGGAGCCACGGTGGCGTCGCTGTCCGGGCAAAATTTCCCTCATAGCACACTGTCATGCCCATCTTCATTAGCTCAGTCGAAGCAGAATAGTAGGACGTTAAATCCCATTTCATTTCTTTTCCATGATGACTGCAATGACGTCGTACTCAATTCCTGGTCCACAGTACTGTTGTGCTTGTTAAAGACAAGTAGTAGTATAAAACTATTAATGACAGTATATCACCTCGGTGGAAGCAGACGTTAAATAAACCTATTTCACACATATAGTGGAATGATGAAAGCAAAGTTTAATATATATATAAAATTATCAAACTGTTATACTTGTCATGGAATGATGAAAGCAAAGTTTAATATATAAAATTATCCTAAAATATTTGACTAAATAACAGCTTGAAAACATGTATATAAATATAAATTTCCCGAAGATTATCCAGCTGTTGTACTAGTCGTGGAATGATGGAAGCAAAGTTTAATATATAAAATTATCCTAAAATATTTGCATAAATAACAGCTTGAAAACCTGGATATAAATTTCCCGAAGATTCTCAGTGTATGTTCTTAATTCCAACGCTAAGGTTTTTGTGATTTTCTCTTGTGCATTAGGGCAATCATATATTCTTAATGCTTTTATTATGTATAATTTATCTTATAAATATAGGAAGATTTGCTGTGTTTTTTACTCTCATTTATGATCTTTTTTTTTTCTTTTCTTTTTTTTTTTCTTTCTTACTTTTGAGAGAAAGCAGGGCCTATTAAAATGGGTTTTGTCCATCCATCTGTCAGCTTTTTGAACGCAGTAACTTAATTGAGGTAGAATGTTCAGACTTGGAGTAAATGTTCGTTAGATGAATGTTTTGACGGAGTTCGATGATGGACATTTTCTGCTTGAGCTGAGCAAAGATAAGCAATTTGAATTGTTGATGCTTTGTTGAGTGAGATTGATGAAACTTAAGTTTGTAGTTTCAATACATCAGTATTTTGACTAAAATCAATAACAAGCATTTTCTGCTTAGGTTAAAGATACATTATGGGAGATTAGATATAGAGCTGGCCGTTCTCACTATAATAGATAAAAACTACATAATGTAAAGAGAATTTGCTGAAAATTTCAGTCAAATTGATCCACTCTGAACCAAGTATTTAGCAATTGAATTTTGGGCCTAGCCTCGATGATCATTACTAAAGTCGCTATGATAAAAACATAGTCTCGATTATCCATTTTTTGATTTAATTATAAATGAGCATTGAGCAGCAGATAGGATTCTAATCCAGTAAATATTGCAGGCTAGCTATGACATCGAGAGTTGATTATGGTCTGGATAAGTTAATTAATGCCTAATTAATAATTTAGATAAGAAAGACCTGCAATTGGCAGATTTAACTCTTGCATAATGTATGTTTAAAGCAAAGTAATAAACAATTAAATTACTCGATGCTTCATGGAAAGATAAATGAGTAAATAATGAATGTCATCTATTTATTTTGGGATGGTGGCGGTGGATATTTAATCTTTATTTCATTATGACTGAGTATAATGGAGTAGGCTATAAATTACTCTGTTTTAAGTTTTGTTGATTTCAAATTCACTAGGTAATTGGTATCCAGTGATGGCTAGAGTCTTTTTAAATGGCTCGATCACAAACAACAATAGCACGACAGATGGGGGAGGTTCTTGATTTCAAATCATATTTGAATTTTGAAATATTCAAGCATTTTCGTGATATCAGTGTAGAATAACTCGCATGGTTGATACCATTCTCAGAAAACCATCAGCTGCAGTATTTTATGGGCTGTCCAGTCCTATGTGAGAAATTCAAATGTAATATGAAATATTTTCCTACCGATGCCATTCTCAAAAAAAACCAACAGACACAGTGTTTTACAGGCTGTCGAGTGAGGAAGTCTGTTGTAATATAAGAAATGTTCGTATTGAACACCAAGAATTTTAATATTTTTGAGAATAGATGGGTTTCCGAGAATGGACTGACTCTTAAATAAAATCTCCCCGCAAATCCACTGTTTTATCCAATTCACTGATTGCCTTCCTTTAGGTTAAAATACATGTACTGTACTTATAATGTTGATTGAAGCCTTGCAGCATTGATCGAATAAATTAACATCAGACAATTTTATAAGATTTAGTATAATAATTATAATGATATAACACCAGGGACCTGTTTCACGAAATTTTAACTAAAGATAAAATCCAAATTTTAGTAGATACTTCAATTTTGATTGGCTAAGCACTAAAATCAATATAATATTATCCAATCAAATTACTAAAATTTGGATTTTATCTTAGTTAAAATTTCGTGAAACAGGGCCCTGGTTCACACGTGCAAATTAAACCGGTTTAAAATCCCTGCTGATTGTTATACCAGCTGAACTTGCGCGTGTGAACGCAAAGATGGGGCAAATAGGCCAGTTTTTAAAAAAAAAAACCTTTATTAAATAACAGTTCCAGCATTGCATGTTGTTACTGCAATGTAAGGATGCAGACCACCGTAAATGAAATAAACTGGCTCTAATGAATGTTGTAAATTTTGTCATTTGATAAGGTCCTCTAATTACAACAACAACTAACATAGATATTAGTGAGGTATTTGTTGTAACCATAACAACTGAAAGCTTTAAGCATATTCATAGAGGTTTGTAATTGGTTGCCATAGTTACGTTACTAACAACTGCATGTTGAAGTCTTTAATTCTGACGTGAGATTGTGAATAATATTTAAACTTTTTATGTATTTGGAAGAATTGAAAACAGAGACAAGAATTGTATTATTGTTGATGATTTGGATTTTGTTGTTTATTTTGGAATTGAATTACCATGAGCTCTTTTAATTAGCTGTTAATATGCTTTTATGTTTTGAAGCTTTTTTGTTTTTTGGGGGGCCACAGTGGGTCAGTGAGTAAAACATTAGCTCGCTTACCTGGAGGTTCCATGTTCGGTCCCTGCGTTGACCAAGAAAGTGCATCAGGATTTTTGGCTTGCATTAACCCAATCGGTGGAGAAACTTTCATTTCCTAATCCTACTGCCCGGAAGTCAATGGATGGCAGGGCGTTAAACAGTTAGACTGATTTTGTCATATATATTATACCGTAGGGTAGCCAGTCCCAACTCCAAACTCGTAGGTTGTCTTCAGGACCTCTGATTTCTTCCCCTGCTAAATACCCCTACACGCAAGCGAATTATTGAAATAAAATAGAACCATATGTTAGTCCTGAAACCATATGTGAACCCTGAGAGGACTGTGGAGTGGAGGTTAATCTCTCTCTCTCTCTCTCTCTCTCTCATAACAATGGTAAATCTTGTTTGATGTTCAAGTTAGATTGAGACAAAAGACACTATTATTAAATATTTTGAAATTATTTCAGCTTTCAAACGTTCCAACATATTATCTTCTGGATGGTTTATTGGTATGATGGTTGCTATAGCGATATTGTTACTAATATTGATTATTGTATGTATTATAAAACGAAATAGAGGTGACAAATATCATGGTGAGTCGGATTTTATATTAAAGGAGCTAAATCTCTATTCTTTGGCACCTAGAAATGGACACAAATAGGTTGGAATGCATGTATTAATGTAGTATGAATGTATATACCGGTACACTGATTTACATTCAATCATTTCTGTTTTTACCGTAATTTCTAATCAGTTATGTTCAGCGAAATATGCGAAGAGTCAAAATTAAATGGCAGTCTTTTGCATCTGGTTATTCCAGTCTATACCGGAAGTATTCTCCCGTTGGGTATGTTTAGCCTAGTTCACTGAGTCACTTCATTACAAATGGCACTTAAAAGCTTTCTGTGACAATTTGAAAATTTTCATTTTGTCTTAAATATTGCATATCAGAAGCATATCGTTTCACGGTAAGATCACAACATCAATGTTGATTTAAATTGACCAATAAGTCGTGTTGGCAATGCCGAAGACTTGATGATATTGAGTTAGCGACTTCCCTGCTTTAAGCTTACAAATAATCTGGATGCCACAGTGGCTCAGTGAATAGGGTGGTCCTCCTGGCACAAATTGTTTTAAAAAATATCTGAAGTAATCATTTTTTGTACAGATTAGAAAAATAGATGTGTAATACAAGATTCAAAAAGTTACCATTCAATTGACTTTTAATTTATTATTGCCCTTGATAACTTTGAAAAATCTTACTTAATTACATAATGGGTTGTGTCTCACGATCAGGTTTTAGTGTCTTTTAAAAGCTCCCATTATTTACAAAACAATATATAGGCGACAAGCTATATGGACTGTATAGCTGCTGTGATCATATGTTTGGTTGCCTGACAACCTATCTTTGTACTTGTTTGAATATTTAATTCCTGATTATTTTTATTACCAGTTCAAGAGAAGGAGCGATTAAGGGGAAGTAATCAAGAAGATCCTGCTGAAAATTTTAATGAATTGGGAAAAAGGTATGAAAATTATTGTCATCTGTCATTGAGTCAAAAGGCGTGGTTTCAATTCCCCGCTTGAACGTGACAAGGAGTAGGGTCGCCTTTCAAACCTCTTGAGTTTTCTCCCGATCCTCCAGTTTTCCAATATATACAAAAAATGTTTTAGAATTTAATTTGTCGCAGGAAAAAAGTTAATATTTCTAGCTCATTAAGCCGCATCAATGTCATCCTTATCAGTGATTGTCGCGGCCAAGCAAATATTCAGTGCGGATCAGTGTGCTAAAGACCCCTACTCGCAAGCAAAATATTGAAATAAAATTGAAACATTTGTTAGTCCCAACGTGACGTAATTTGTGTCGAGTGGACGTTAAACCCCATTTCTCTCTCTTTCTCTGAAATGTGATGATTGTGAGAATCATTTAGCAACATGACAATGAAAATCCTCCGTCCCACATTAGATTACTGGGAAGGATTGTCTGAAAATAATTGAAGCCGTTAGGTATACATTAAATTTCAAAGAAGGATTTGTGATTTAAAAAAAAAATGGTTTCTTTTTCTAGTGATACAAATGGAATTGGTCAGAGTGGATCATTTGATAACAATCCTGAAAAAATGCCACTGGGTGATGAGACAGATAGCATGGAGGAATACGGGGATGTCGATCCAGCCAAATTCAACGAAGATGGATCATTTATTGGAGAATATGGAGGTCAGAAAGGCGTAGGAGATCAACAAGCTTCAACCATGGCAACACTGGTATAGTTCATCATGTGACTTCAATGAGTGCTGGGAGTTATGTGCCCTTGTTGTAAAAAAAAGATGCTGTGAGATTTCTCTATTAAAACTTGTGATTGGTGATTTTAATATGTAAGGCCTTAACATCATAAAATTTTTAAACATACAGGTTGCCAGCCTGAAAAGGATTCCATCTTTGTGTAAAAAAAAAAAAATTAAGCGCCAATCATCAAACATTCAATCAAGGAAGATAACTAAATCTAAGAAAGACAACTCTGTGATAAATGGGGAAGTAATTCATTCAAAGGGAAGTAATTGTTTTGAAATGCTTTGAATTTCAGGCATGAAGAGGTTGTTTTTTATTGCCTTCCTTTCAATATACATAAAGATAATTTCCTCACACAAGATCAAGGGAGTGGTCCAAACAATATTCCAGAAATAAATTTTAAGATAATTTACAAGAGAAAAATAAAAAACAGTGCTATATTTATTTAAATGAATGCCATATATGGTAGTTTATGTAAATGAGTAGTTAGTAGGTTTGTTTTTGACTAGCTGCCATCAGTAAATAAACGTCACGTTTTTGTTTATGTTTTTTTGTTGAAGCAGCTAGGGTATATGTCTGTTTGTTTTATTAGTTTACGATATTACGAGTATATGTTATTATTACAATGTACTAGATTGTTTTCCTCGTTCTCCTCCCCCTTCCTTTAATAAAACTTATCGGTTGTTACGCAGAATTGACGTAACCAAGACTTGTTATTGGCTGTTAGTTATTATACAGTGATGGATGCCGAAACAAGTTTCGAACGATTTTTAAAAAAGAAACTGAGTGAGCAGGAATGTTGAAAGAAAATATTCCTATAGTTTCCACATGTGCCCTAGGAAAAGCCCATGGGTTACAATAGTTATAACGTAGGAAAGTTCTTCTCCCGCAAAATGTGCCATGTGTAATGGCTTCGGGAAAGTCCTTCTCCTGTGTGATTAAAACCTCATGGGACCAAGTGAATGGGCCGTAGTCATTGGTTACCATGGGCAGTATCATGTTCCCATGAAAATCCAATGAGACACATGTAAAATCCATGTTTATTTTCCATAACCATAAGGAATAGCAGTTATTAATAGCCAAATGATTACTAAAGAATGAAACAGGACATAGTAAGGGGTGTAGAAAGAGGAAACAGACTATATTATTATTTCTGTGGGGTATAATTGTTATATTACTGGTTGTGATGTTGTACATGAGAAATGCTGTAATTTGATTGGCTTATAAGTATTTGTATAATAACAGTGTGCGACACAGAGTTTATTGTTGAACACCCAAGAATGTGTGTGCTTTGATTGTTGTTCTCAAAACATCACTTTTTCTATTGTTTTCGAAACATTTATTTTATTTTTTAGTATATTTTATTTATTCGTTTTTTTTTGTAAGGAAAGGTATCGAAAACTTACATAAACTCTAATTTGGCCTTAAAAGTTAAAAGTCTAATTAGGCCTTAGAGTTCAGTCAACAAATGATTAAGCCTAAAGAATTCAAAGTTAGAATCTCGCCATCGAGAATTAACTTGCATTAAAAGTTTATAGGATAGATCTGAACATTGAAACTGCATGAAGTAATAAAATATAAAACAAAAGAAACTGTTCAATTTTAGAAAAAAATGATAAAAAATACTTTATGAAAAGATTTGAACATTGAGTATGGATGAAATAATGTAAAAAAAAAAATGAAAAAAATAAACCCAACTTTTCATTTCTGAAAAATTTTCAAAAAAAATTGTTTTGTCAACATTTGATGACAAAATGATGTTCGTTAATTCTACTCTAGTCATCAGTGTAATAAAATAATACTGATCCAAAGTTATTCAGGGATCAATCATTGAATGAATCTCGTTTAATGAGATTATAAAAATATTTGTGAGTACGCGAATCATTTAGTTACTTAATTAATTCTCTAACCAGAATCTGCATTTATAGTCACTTTTTACGCCATTAGAGGCTTTTTTTGTAAGATGTAGAAGCATAATAATAATAATAATACATCCATATTTAGCCAATGAAAGTTGAGTATTTAATTTAACTCTGGCTATATTTTCATGAAATCATAATACATGTGCTTTCATAGTATATACACTCTGTACATGTTACGCATAATATCTTCATTAATTCTACTTCTTGTCGTTCATCAACCATAATAATTTTCTTTATAAGAAACTCATAATTGCTAATTAAAGATGCATTATGTTAGATTTAGCTAAAGAGCTGACTGTTCTTGCTATAATAGTTAAAAAAATAGATAATGAACAGGGAGATATGTTGAAAATTTCAGTCAAATTACTTCATTCTGAGCGGAGTTATCATTTTTTGCAGAAAAGTTTAGTGTTGATTGTCATTGCTACCATTGTTACGATAATAAACAAAGCCTCAAATGATATATTTTTAAATTAAGTCATTAACTGCCATTGTATTTAAATGTGTTGAAAATCAAAACCATATGAGGTTCTAGAGAGTTGAGTATGGGTCTGGCATGTAAATAGATATGTAATTAATGATTTATATAACATTTGAGGTCAAACGAAAGATCTGCAATAGGCCCCTGGCATGTAAATAAATGTGTAATTAATGATTTATATAACATTTGAGGCCAAATAAAAGATCTGCAACAGGCAGATTTAGTTCTTACATGATGCATCTTTAACAAAATTTGTCAAAAATTGACCCACTGTGAAAAATTTAAGTGAAAACCTTGATTGACACTCTCCTGGCCATCCGTCTCGCTATTCTTTCTACCTCCTATTTTTAAGTTGTGCCAAATGTTTCTTTATTTTGTTATATTTTTCCTCTTTACTTTCTTTTTTACATTTCCAAGATTAGGTTTTGTTATTTTAAGATGGACATCTTTAAAATTATTTATTGAATACAGAATAAATAACATCTTGATCTTGCCTTTTTTTCTTCACTGACAAATTTGAATTCGAGAAATAACAACATACTAATCTTTGCCTTTCTCATTGTCCTCGACACATTATTCTACATAAAAACATGTTCATATGTTAATGTTTTTAATTGCAAAAAAAAAAAAGCGATCATTGTTCTTCGATTCCTCACTCTGAATAAAACATAGATACTATTTCGTTTCGGTTTTATAGTTCAAAATTTTGTTTTACTTGTCTTTACTACACTTGGATCTAGAAGAGTTGTTATCATTGACGTGTTCTGAATGATGTGAGGGATTAGTCAATGAAACGGTCTGTTACGGCAAGCTTTAGGCGAGTTTTGCACGGAACTGTGAGTAATCCACAAGTAACATCAATGCTGATTGGTTAATCAAATGTCATGGGGTCAAAAGCCGCTCGTATGACCTGTGGCACAACCTATCGCTACAACTTGTCAGATCTTCATGTAGTGTAGGCCATCGAAAGTATAAAAAAACGAAACGAAATATAGATCTGTACTTTAATCAGATTGTTGATTCCTATTCATGGACTTGTTTCCCTAATAGTTGATTCTCTACCAAAGATTATCTTTGTAGAAACCTACACCATTGATCATTTTTAAATTCATATTTTCATTACATACTGAAATAGCATGGGTTGCTAGATTTGTCTTTATTTAGTAGAAAAATTGAGAAAATAATGTTCTACAAAATGTTTGGAATGTGTAAGGCAGGGTTTGAATTTCTCTAATAGTGCAAAACATTTGATAAAAAGTTGCTCGAGAAATAATAATGATGAATACTTGTGTAAGGCAGGGTTTGAATTTCTCTAATAGTGCAAAACATTTGATAAAAAGTTGCTCGAGAAATAATAATGATGAATACTTTGGTTTTGTTTGTAAATTAGATTTATATCCAATGTTTTATAAATTTCAAATGTATTTAATTCATTCAGTAGTCACAGAAAAAGTGGGCCACATTGTTGGCACTATTTGAAAGCATGAGGCGTTCGGATAAATGCATTTATTTTGCGTCATATGTCACTATGTACATGCAGGCCTCAAGAAATTTAAGAAATGTGATATTTGCCTGTCAGGTACACAACTATTTTCTGGATCATTACAATGTTTGAGGCTATATTATGGAATAGATATTATTGTATCTATAAAAGGGGAAAACCCTTTTATATTCAGTTTTGACATAATATGTATAAATATTGTTGTATCTATAAAAGGGAAAAACCCACCTTAATTCAGGTTTGAAGGGTGAAGTTACTATATTGGAAATCTAGCGACATTTCTAAAAACATTGTTTTCTCAATTTTCTCTGTTTTAACTTATATGTTCACCAGTCGTAGAACAACCGTAGACTTGATCAAATAAACTTGATCAACCAGACATTCCTCTGTTTAATTATATAATAGATATAATGGATTGAATGTTGTGTTATAAAGACTTTAGTTCACTTTATATTGTGTTGAATACATTTAATCTTTATTTATGTAATGTTTGCTTAATATATAAATATATATATATAAATTACACAGTTCATGTATGTATATTATTAGCTAGAGTTTATACGTTGCTAAAAATGTTTCTGCAACTTTTTATTGCAAATTTGGCAACTACGCTTTAATTTTTTTACGCTTATATGGGTACTTTCACATAAAACTTGGACTTGTACAAAGAAGGAAACAAAAATTGATTTTTAGAAACATAAATTTTATTTTGAAGACACGCGGTAACCCAGAACAATTTCATAATGCAAAAGTCGGTCGTTAAAGCCACTGATGGTCATTTGAGGGATTTTGAATTTCTTGTAAACTGTAGAAGATATAATGAGCGACATGGGTCCCTTTTTAATCCGATTAAATCCAAGCTGGGAAATTATCAACCATTGATATTTTGCATTGGTTTTCTTAAAGGGGCATTAGGTAAGATTAGATAAAGTTCTAACAGTTCTCGCTATGATAGTGGAAAAATAGATAATGAAAAGAGAATATGCTGAAAATGTCAGTCAAATTACTTAATCACTCTGATCCAAGCTATCAGCGATATAATTATAGGCTAGCCTGGATTGTCATTACTACCGTTGTTACGATAATAAACAAAGTCTCAGTTACCCATTATTACGTTAAATCATCAACCGCAAAACGTATTCGATGGCATCGAGAGTTGATTATGGTCTGGATAAGTTAATTAATGTCTAATTAATAATTTAGATAACATTTAAGGCCTAATGAAATACCTGCAATAGGCAGATTTAACTCTTGCATAATGTATCTTTAAATATTCTCTTAAAAATGCAAATGACAATCAGCGGCTTTAAAAAAAATCACGTATGGGAGAAATTTTTTTAAAAAAAGTGATAATTATTGTGATTTCAAATTTAAAAAGTTTTAAACCAATCTATGCAATGGATATGATTTACTTGGCAACTGTAATTAATTTTACTATTGTCAGGTTTGATTTAGTCGTAGATAGATGTATAGAAAATAGACACCAAAGATCTTTTAAACACTTAGAAGAAATAACTCCACTTTCATAGAAATCTATTACCCAGCTTTTAATGTGTAAAAGTACTAGTTTAACAATCAACAAAAATAAATTTAGCAGTGTAGTAAAATTTTCTATAGACTAGTCATCCTAGTATATTAGGTACGGTCCTACACACATACCAGATTTTGGTCAAAATCAAGCCAGATAAGAAATGAAACCGGGGTTTAAACCAAATTCAAGCTAGATAAGAAATGAAATGGGGGCGGGAGGTGTTTAAAGTCCTACCTTTCTGCTCCATCCAGATCAATGAAGATGGAGTCAGATAAGAACTATCTGGCATTAATTTAATTGTTAGGTGTCATTAATAATTACTGGAATCATCCATATAAATTAGATATATGTAGGTTAAAATAAATAGTTCTATGGAAAACAGTTACTGTATTTTAATACTCAGTATTGTGCTTGAAAACGACAAGAGAATCATTGTAGAAACATAGCTCTGATTAAAGATACAGTAATTGTTATTATAAAACTGTTGTGTTTATCTTAATGTGTTCATTTACTAAATGCCATTTAAACAGTATATAGATATACCATATCCCACACTTTTGTTCACAGGAATTTCAAATTTGTGACCTTACCAAATAATGTTCTATGAGTATGTATTATATAATAATGACTACAGTAGCATTGACAACGATCTGATTACATTGACAACAGTAGAGATCTGTCTGAAACTGAAATATATAAAAAAATAATAATACATCATCATATTTAATTAAGTCTAATTTTGATAGTAGTAATTGACCATGTGTTACTTAGTAATGGCCCTGACAGTAATCTGATTAGAATGACTTCGGTAGAGAACTTTCAGAAACTCGAACTACGTCAACTTTTCGGACTTGTGGGTAGGACTGGATAAGAAATTCTGAACACATCATGACGAAGTATGACATATAAGCATAGTATTTAGTCAGTAGAAAAATAAAACTCCCAGCGCTTGACATTTATGTCCACTTTTCCGTTTTTTATTTTGTATTTTGTAATATATTATATATGATAATGTTTGTAAATAAATTCTCCCTTCCGTTTTTTATTCCGTTCTGCTGACTAGTGTTCATCATCTCATCCTGTGTAAAACTGGAATATTTTGTTAAAATCATTTATCATCATATTTAATTAACATGGTGTATTTTTTTTTTTTAAAGAGTATTCAAGATCTAAAAGAAGCACTTTCTGTTTGTCTTAATGGAAAATTAATTTTTTTTACGATTCCCTTTACATATATGTCGGGCTATATTTATTATATCTTACCACGATCATTTCACCTCCTTGGAAAATTGGTATGGACATGTGACTTAACAATGGCGACGCTCCATTTATAATAACATGATATTTGAATTTAATTTTCAAATTTCCGATGAGTTATCAAATTTGCCCACCAGTTAAAATTTTGATGTGGAAGCCCTATCTTGGAATCATTGACATGTTTTCAAAATTATTTATTTGGACTTCCTGGGTGAATCTTTCTGAGTTGGAATCCAGATTTATTTTGATTTATAAGTAAAAGAATTAAAAATTAGTTTAAAGTAGGCCTAATATGTAGAAAAAACACCAAATTAATTTTCATATACAATTAAAAGATTAGAAATTTATAACTGAATTTATTTTGTTATGGACAGAAAGTGCTACTTTAATTCAAACTTGAACATCATGTGATCATCATCAACCATGTGACATCATCAACGCTTCAAAGTCACTTATTATCATTGTCAGTAACTATAGCGTAACCTTTTTGCCCAAATAATTATCAATTAACAATATTTGTATGTGCAAAATGTTTTCACATCAATCAAAAGGAATAAAATTGTGCTTTGAAAAGATTATTTATTGTTTTTGTAACTAAATCTGTTCGGGGGTTTTTCCAGCATGGTTCTCCCTTGTCAGTGATGCAGGACGGAGGGCCTGACAAGTACAGCTGTCTAGTCGTTTGGATGGGACGAAAAACCAAGGTCCTGTGTACTCATGGATGTGCATGTAAAAGATCCCTTGACAGTTGGAATTCGATATAAGAGTAGGCTGTAGTGCTGCTGTCCGGGCAAAATTTCCTCATAGCACACTGTATGCAGAACAGTAGGACGTTAAACCCCATTTCATTACATATCATTTCTGTTCGAGGTGGGGGGAGGGAGAGAGAGCGAAATGGGGTTTAACGTCCACTTGACACAAAAAGAATAAGGTTATTTGTAGAGTGAGACAGTGAAATGAGGTTTAACATCCACTTGACATGAACTAGGTCATTTAGGGACTAACATATGGTTCAATTTTATTTAAATAATTCACTTGCACGTAGAAGTCTTTAGCAGCGGGAGGAAACTGGAGGACCGGGAGAAAATCCATGAGGCTGGACAGGTGACCCTACTCCTTCTCACATACAGCCGGGGAATCTGTTTGGGGGGTAGATTGGGTTTACATATGCACTTTAGATGATAAGGTCTGTCACTGAGTCTAGTCACATATTGGGAACTTTGGCTGTAGACTGTTAAAACTATAAGCAAACCCACTCGGTAAACCTCAGCAGATTCCAGTACCCTACAGTCAGATGTAGGGTACCGGAATCTGCCGAGGATTGCCGAGTGTAAGCAAACCATTCATTTATAACACCAGTTTATATACAACAGATAAACACATAATAAATTAGGATTTTTATTACAAAATTTAAAAAACATGTAAAAACTGTAATCTTGTATAAATTTGCCCCAAAAATGTATATAATACCCGTATATTTTTATTATAAATTTTATATTTTTATTATAAATTTTATATTTTTATTACAAAATACAAAAAACACTTCATATATGTTTACAAAATGGATTACTGTAAAAAATATATGACGTAACGATATTATGTTGAAATGATAATAAATAAATAAATACCCCCCACCCTCTATTCAAATAATCAAACACAATGTGTTGATCTATTTATCTAGAATCATTTTACTTACTAACAAATAAATATATTACCACTGTTTACAAACATCGTGATTAGTACTGGTACTTACAATATTACTTCATCGTTAAATTATCACCTGTTTACAAACATCGTTATTAGTACTTATAATGTTACTTCATCGTTAAATTATCACCTAAAACTACTTTCCAACACACTTATTCACAAATATAAAAATTAAACATACATTATGGGAGATTAGATAACGAGCTGGAAGTTCTCGCTATAATAGTTAAAAACTAGATAATGTACAGACAATTTGCTGAAAATTTCAGTCAAATTGATCCACTATGAACCGAGAATTTAGCGATTGAATTTTAAGCCTAGCCTCGATCATCATTACTAAAGTCGGTACGATAAAAAAAACATAGTCTCGATTATCCATTCCATGATTAAATCATAAATGAAAGTTGAGCAGCAAATGGGATCATAATCCAATAAATATCGCAGGCTAATGTTGACATCGAGAGTTGATTATGGTCCGGATAAGTTAATTTAAAATGTCTAATTAATAATTTAGATAACATTTCAGACCTAAAGAAAGACCTGCAATAGGCAGATTTAGCTCTTGCATAATGTATGTTTAAATTCACACTCAGCAACAACTCTCATCAGTTCTTATTCATAAACATATACACATAGATGAAGACTTAAAACAACCATAAACCATTCTTATTCACAAACATACAGTTGAATTCACAATTAAATTGAAGCAACTCGCTCACAAACAGACAGTTGAATTTACGGCTGATGCAACTCTAACAAAAATAAATAAATACAGTTGAATTAACAATTAATGCAACTCACAAACATACACTCGAATTCACACTTGATGCAACTCTCACAAACAAACAGATGAATTCACGCTTGATGCAATCTCACAAACATACAGTTGAATTAACATTTTATGCAACTCTCACAAACATACAGTTGAATTAACACTTGATGCAACTCTCACAACATACAGTTGAATTCACACTTGATGACCCCTCTCCCCCTACACACTCACACAAACATGCATACAGTTCAATACACGCTTGATGTCACTATCACAAACATGCATTTGAATTCACAGTTGATGCAACTCTCACAAACATATTATTCCCAAATAGTAGATAAACCAAATACAACATCAATAAAATATGATTTGGCGTTGATTCTTTGTCTGTTAAAATACAAGTCTCTGTTCATCGCCCATTCTGGTACATCAACGACTTTATCTTCAGAAAGATCATCAGCCCAATTAACATAATCTTTTGACAAGTTTTCTTTAGTATCGCTTTCTAAACCTGTTACTCGAGCAGAACCTACTTGGTTGATTTTAGTAGTGACATTAAATTTAAAATCAGGAATCAAAGCCCAGCTAGGAATGTCTACGGCTCCTTCATACGCAGGTTCTTCAGCCCAGTTGATGACAAATTTATGGTAGATAGGATCAGATTCTTCAACATTTTCTTGGGCGATAGAATAGATATGGCGGTCATAATCTAATCCAGGAATCAATGCCCAGTCAGGGACATCTACGGGTCCATTATACACAGGTTCTTCAGCCCAGTTGATAATATATTGATGGTGAATTTGGCTGAAGTCATCAATATTTTCTGTGGTAGACCAATCTCTTCCAGAACAATTATCTTTAGCATGTCGATTAACATCTAATCCAGGTATCAAAGCCCAGTCAGAGACATCTACGGGTCCATCATGCACAGGTTCTTCAGCCCAGTTGATAACATACTGATGGTGAATTTGGTTAAAGTCATCAACATTTTCTTTAGCATGTCGATCAAAATCTACTCCAGGTATCATTGCCCAATAAGGAATATTTGTTGGTTCTTCATATGAGATTTCGTCAGCCCAGTTGATCACTGAATAATGTTGGTTTTGGTTTAAGTTCAGCTGAAAAGTGTCGTCCAATTCTACGTCCAAATTCTTAGTATCTCCATTGTTTGATACTGATGCTGATGATAGAGGTGATCTTGGAACTCTCAGTTCACAAATTTTCTCGTATCCTTGGTTGCATTTCTTGTAGTAAGATACAACTGAAAAAAAGTGAAAAACAATTACAAGCAACGAAAAGAAGAAAAGAAAACATAGTTGACCCTGGTAGATAATAAATAAAATGTTCACCGTAACTAAATGGAACAAGTGAAAAACAGAGGGTCCATGTATACATTGGTAGGGCTCATAACAGATGTCTTGGCATTTGAAATTCGGAAAAGAACAGTCCCCTCCGTATTCCACGTTTAAATAACACATTGTCGTAAGTTGATTTTATCAACTGTTTTGATTCTGTTATTTGACTGGAGCGTTTAATGTAAACCGATTTTGGACACAGTAAAGTGTTAGACTCACTAGACGTATTAACTATAGGGTTGACTAGTAAAGTGTTAGACTTACTAGACGTATTAACTATAGGGTTGATTACTAAAGTAAAGTGTTAGACTTACTAAAAGTATTAACTATAGGGTTAACTAGTAAAGGGTTAGACTTACTAGACGTATTAACTATAGGGTTGACTACTAAAGTAAAGTGTTAGACTTACTAAAAGTATTAACTATAGAGTTGACTAGTAAAGTGTTAAACTTACTGAAAGTATTAAGGGTAGAGTTAAAATCTTTATCAGTTAATGTAACAAACATGTTGTTATCATCATATATGATCTGGCTTAATACATCACCATAGTCTAAACTACTATCACTAAAATCTGGTATTTCTCTGGAATAAATATACTACAAAGTATAAGAGAAAGTAAATTACTGTTTATAGTTCAAACTTCTTTCATTTGAAAAAGCAAAAACCGCATTTAAAACTTATAACAGAGAAAACTAGTTTATCTATTTGTTTTTACTTGTACTCAACTCGACTACGAAAATATTGAATAACTATTGAGTTTTTAACTTTTTTATATTACTTTTTAGAATTTCTTTACAATATAATCAAATATACTTACAATACAGTCATAGTTGTTGTCACTTTTGTGTCTGGATTCACGAAAGGGTAGAAAATGTAATTAATTTCAGAGAATTATCACAGAGCGTCTTTCTTTTAGCAGATAAAATAGCTCAATGATAGAACAAGATGACGTTTTACCTATTGTGACGTCATAATTAAAAGACGTCAAAAAGTTATGGTGAATTTTTTGCCAAATAAAATTAAAATACCCCCCCCCCCACCTTCCCCAACAAGATATTCTGCTTTTCCCGAAACAGATTGAAATGTTATTATTTTTTGCCAAAACATTCCAAAGAAGAGATATTTCCTAACTGTTTCACAGGTTGTTGGTTTTCACATTATAAACATTCATTCTCGATCAAGAAATCGCTATTAAATCTTTACTTTACTACTGATCAAAATAAGACGCCATTTTGATAGCCCGGTTTCAAAAATGAAATGAAATGGAATGGGGTTTAACGTCCTACTGTTCTGCTCCGGCTGGGCTAATGAAGACGGGCATACGCCATACAGTGTGCTATGAGGGAAATTTTACCCGGAGAGTGGCGCCACGGCCTACTCTTATATCGAATTCCAACTGTTAAGGGATCTTTTACGTGCACGTCAATATGTACACGGGACCTCGGTTTCTCGCCCCATTCGAACGACTAGACAGTTGTCCTTGTCTGGCCCTCCGTCTTGACAAGGGAAACCACGCCGGAAAATACTGACGGACTTTTCCGTCCAATATATACCGGGAGTTAACCCGCAACCTTCAGGCTAGCGAGCCAGCGTCTTACTCACTTAGCCATCATGGCTTCCTCCGGTTACAACCGAGAAGACTAATATGAAAGAATGACGAAAAATATTTTCGAAACCAACATTCCTAAAATAGCTATCATTTTTAATAAAACTTCGCCGTCAACTTTTACATCAAATTGCCC